AGCTCAGTGGTGCCATGCCTGCTTGGCAAGCATAAGGTCCTGAATTTGATAACCAGTCCCCCCGCCAAAAAAAAACTCAAGGCATTTTCATTACATGTAATGAGTTAGCATCTTTCCAGTGGTACTACCTGTGTATCATCCTTGGGAAAACTGACAAAAATCATTATTTTTATCATTTTCTGCAGGGCTTACCTCTCATGAAAGGGTCTATGAATGAAAAATTGTATCTTAAAAAGGAACTCAGACCAAGAGGATAAATTTCTAAGTTTTTCCATTTTTTAGTCGTAAAAATGAATATAGATTTTGTATTTCCTAAAACACTGTGGGGTGGGAAGTTGCTGAACACACCTATTCCCAAAGTCTAAAGATTCTAAAACTCTATAAAGATTTCCAATAAAATGCCAGGGAAAAGAAAGGTCTACAAATCCTGCTACTAACAGAATTAAGTTCCAAAAACTTAATAACTCAACTCTACAAAAGCCCAGTGAAAAAGAAGATACTCTAAATAAACTCTAATCCAATCCAAGTATGTTTGTGTTGATCTACATCATTCAAAATCTGAAAAGTGGTCTCAAACATGGAAATGGGAATTATCTCCAACAGAAGAAATCAACATACCTATTTGGATTACAAGGCTAAAATAGAATGATTCAGAAAATATTACTTTTTATAATAAACCTGCTTCATGCTTTTTCTTGAACATTTTAAACAATTTAATATCCAACAAGCATACTGTGTACAGACAATTAGGCATGAGATACATTTGAATCCAATATTCAGTTCTTACTTGCTTTAGGAATATCTTCACATAATTTTAGATGAATTAAGGTGATGGAGAAAGAAGATTCCCCAAATATATATTAATACAATTTTCAATAATGATTTGAAATATCATCCTACATACAGAGTAAAAATTAGTAACTTCCAAAATGCTTTCCCATTCATTCTCTCATTCCTTGAATTATAGTAACCATTTATGTGCAAACTACATGTTTAAAGGTTAAACCATTGTTTTTTTAAAAGATACTCTAAAACACCATTTAGTGTTGATAAAAAAAAGATTTGTACCAGTCTCAGACTCTAAACTTATGGAAACAGTTATTAATTCCAGAAAGTTAGCATCAACAGTGGTCCTTCATATTTGTGCAAGAACTTTCTCTGATTGATTTTATACTCAGTTGATGAAAAATTTTGCTAATCACAAAATACAAACTACCCCAGATGTAACAAGCTACCACGAAATCTGCAATTAATGCTCGAACACATTTTGTTCCATCACTACTTTTTGTAGTTGCCCATTCTCTAGTCTATTTCCTTGTCTTCTGCAGATTAATAGTGAAAAGCACATTTCTTAAATAAATGTACAACAGCTTGCAAAGGGGAGACATTTCTGCACTATTATTTCAGTGCTCTCTACAGAAATGAAATGAAATGAAAATGCAAAGCTAAAAGTAATGAATGACTAATATCTTTTCAGGGTGAGATTTTGTTTGTTTTGTGACCTAAAGACTGCACCCAGGGCGAGAGTAAATGTATGCTAAGCATGTGCTCTACTGCTAAGCTCCACATCCAAGTGGGGGGGGGATTAATTATCTTTAGGACATCTATAAGGTACAGAGTATACCCTAGGTATTGCATGAAAAGCACAGTAGTTTGCTTAACTATGAGTAGTCCTGTCTGAATTTTAGGAATCTTTTTGATATATTTTTAATGGGATATACTATACATTAACTTTAAAAAAGTGGAGATTGTCAGCCATATTCTGTCACAGTGCAGAACCACATATAATTTTGCTATCAACTTCCTATAAATGGCCTCTTCTAGAGTGCTTGAAAATAATCTTAAATAAACATTACCCTTCAAATTTTATTTATAAATGACTGATTTGCTTAGCAACCTTTTCCCACAGAAACTTATTTGATCTAATTTTGATTTGATGGAATACCCACTGAAGACATGAAAAAGAAATAAGAATGATCTCTACATGTGTACCCTATAAATTACAATAACCATTTTTCTAATTAACATAGAAAACTCATATGGGATAATCTGATAATACCATACTTCAGAGCAGGTCTAATACCAAGTATCTTTCTTATGATCTGAGTAAGAAAGAGTTGACAATATAACTTTAGTTTCTACAAAGAATAAATTTAAATTCTTCATTCAGAACACTAAGCTTATACAACTCATTTCTCCCACCTAAATATAGTACTTAACTAAGCAAATTAATGTAGCTATTAGCTATGCAAATAAGTATTCATTGGTCATTACTAACATAACTTCCATCCTTTAGAATAATTAAATTGCTACATTTCAAGCAATTGCCTATTGAGTTTCAGGTTTTTTTTTTAATCCAAAAGTAATATTTTGACTATATAAACTATGTAAGCTTATTAAATTATATTCACACTAAACATAAAGTCTTTTACATAACAGGTTAATAGATTTAGCAGTCTTTTTTAAATAAAGGAAAAGAAAGCTGGGTTTGACTTTTTAAACCTCTGGTCAATTTGGTTTGTTTGGCAAACAACTCACTTACTCATCAATGATAATGAAAAATTTGCCCTGACCAAGGACTATTTTCCTTTCCCCTTCCCAGTTAAACACCTTCGTATACATATTATATATTATATACAGTATACAATTATATTAAACATTATATACTTGCACACATATTTACAGGTTTATACAGAATCAAAAAGTTTCTACTTCTAGGCAAAGTATAGAAAACCACCAGACTTAAGTCAGAAGACCTGCACTGAACTCCCAATTCAATTGGTATAATCTACCAGTTATACCAGCAGGAGCATGTTACCCATCTGGGACTAATTCTTCATCTGACAGGAGGAAATATTCTAACTCACTTTCATCACAGACCCTCAAAAAATTACCTAACACTGGGCACAGTTGCACACTCCTCTAATTCTAGCACTTGGGAGGTTGAGGCAGGTGGATACCAAGTCAGAGCCCAGCCTGGGCAAGTTAGCAACTTAGACATTATCTCAAACTTTTAAAATAAACAAACAAATGGCTGGGAATATATGTTGCTCAGTTCAATGGCTGTGGGTTCAATCCCCAGTACTGCAGGGGGAGGGGGCTACCTCACAGTGCTTTGAGTAGTAATTTCTAACCATGCTGTAGCAAGCACAAAGAAAAAAAACACTCAAGGTTTATACAACATGAGCCAAAAAGATATTTTCTTAAAGGTTAAATTGTTGGAAATTTCCTTAAAGTCTCAAAGCATATATAAAAAATTTTTTTTCTTTAAGTGCAGCAAACAGACTGGAGGGGAAAAAAAAAAAAAAAAGCACCTTCCCAAACCCAAAAGCGCATTCAAATTAATAAATTCTGGGGCAATAAGGGACTGCATCCCAGATAAAGGATGATTTCAATTTTAGCTAAACCTTAGGTTTGTACATGCAGTTTCAGTTGGGCACCCCCATACCAGGTTCTTAGTGGTTTTTTTTGTTTTTGTTTTCACACAGAAGAGGAACATAGACAAACAAGATAGCTTATCCCAAAAATGCTTAATTAAGTGAGAGTAAAGAAGAGTCAAGCAATATATCTGGCAAATTATGTGACTATCTAGACATGTAAGCCATAGGTCCCTAATTAGCTTGGGGCCAGGGTATTCTAAGTATCAAAAGGGGCAGTCCACTGTGTGGAAATACAGACTACCTCGAGCACAAAAGTCCACATTGCACATAGACAACTGTAAGCCTCATTTTACACTTTTGAGAGCAGGCTTAAAATTAATTCTGCTTTAAAACCAATTAATAAGTGAAGCTGAAGAGTGTAAATCTAGTTGCCACTGGAAAGGAATTTCAGGAGACTTTTGGAAAGCAGCAAGCAATGAGAGTCAAGAGTATCTATTGAGCTTCAGAAACAAATCTGTCCTAAAACTACACTTGAGTCAATTTCCCTCAAAACTTAAAAGTGCCATAACATCTTCCAGTCCAAGCCCTAACTTTGCTGTGCACAACCTGCAGCAAGTCATTTAATATGCTTCATTAATTTCTTCTGTGAAAGCAGGACAGAGCTACTTCAAAAAATCAAAATTAGTAGAAAAAATTAAAGTTATTAAAATATGACCAACTTGTTGTAAAAATAAAATTACATAAAAAAGAGCAATGCTTGACACATTTTAAACATACTGTTATCTAGTGGAATTATATATGAATTAAATCAAGTAGGAAAATACTTAACATACCAGTTCACACTATTTAAAAATTCATATCCTGTCTATCACCCAGTCATTCAGAATCTTAACTAGAACAAAGATATTAGTTCAGTCTACCAAATAATGCAGTGGAAAAAATAAGTTTAAGATCTCTTTGATGACAGCTTATTATATTACTATTTTATTAAACTTCATTCTAGCTGTCTTAATTTTTAAAAATCTTTTCTTTTCAAAAAAAAGATTTTTCTTTTCTAGAATTACAAATTCTTCAAACATCTTTTCTGCTTGTTTCCAACACTAATCAAATCTAAATATCCAAGCGTAGAAACATGAGAAGTCATAGATGTAGACTTAAAAAAAAATGCTCTGAAGCCCACCACAAGAAATGTTTAGCCGATGATTGTATCATTTTGCCAATGAGGTAACACCGTAACACCAAGGTGTAAATTATACTGAGTCCTAGGAAAACAGATTTACTCATCAAGAAGCAGGATGTGTGAAAAAGACAATAGATCAAAACAAAGCCCAAACCCCTCCAATTTTGGCTATATAATTTTGGGTAAGCCACTTATCTCTCTAGACCTCATTTGTAAAATGGGAATTACCTTCTGTCATAGGTTGTTTGGAAAGTCAAATAAGCAAAATATCCAGGAAAACACTTCATAGCCCAAAAATTGCAATACAAACACAATTTTGACCAGTGTTTTTTGCTGTTAAAGGAGCAAAAAGATTCTTAAAAATACATCAAATGCTAAACACAGAATTTTGATTTCAAAGTAAACCACTATCATTCAAAATCGCTATTTAAAAAACTTGCCTTGGATTGCGTTCTCTTTCCATTTCTCATGTTAAACTTCTCCTTCATTTCCTCTAAAACTATCTTCAGTTTCTTTTCTTCAGGTGTCCCTAAGTATTTTTGGTTCACATGAAGATAACAATGCCATTTGGCCGATTCAAAGCCCCAGTGGCAAGTTCTTTTGTCAGGTGATCTGTGAGAATGCATCACAAATGTCTGGGGTGCAAACATTCCACAACACTCCAGACACTGAATACATGGAGCATCAGGCTGCACGTAAAACTGAGGTGCAAACAGACCCTGACATTTGCCCAAGCATTCATGTTCCACTTCAAAGGCACTGCCAGTTTCCTTTAACTGGGCCAATGAGTTTTTAGCAGGAAGTATGCTGCCATTTTGCAGAAAAGTTCGTGGTCGCAATAAAGCATTACATAGTCTTTGTGCGTCAGTTAATGTGATCAGCCCACAGGATGGAGCATTGAATGGAAGTATACCCAGAACCTTTAAGATATGAAGCTGATCTGATGTACACCTTGAACAATATATATATAATTCATCACACACTGTATTTATTTGCTGAAGTGAAAATTCTCGGAGAACAGAATTTAAGACTTGGGGCAAACAGAGTCTCTTTTCTCCTCCAACTTGAAAACAAGAAACAGACTCCCCTTCCAAAACAGTCTGGGTGAGCTCTGTGGAGCTATCGGAAGGGATGAGTAGCGGGCCAGGAAGGACCTGAGGAGATGGAAGAGGCAGAAATACAGTGGGTGACATGCTTTCCTGGGAATACCGAGCAGAAAATGCTGCTGGTCCACCCAGAGAGCTCTGACTACTTAAGTGAAATTGTGCCAATGTGTGTTTCAAACTGGGATTTAAATTTAAAAGTTCAGGCACGGAAGTACAGGTTCGCTTGACATGTTCTCCATCAGTTTCCATCGGTGCTTCTCCATAATCATCCAAATGTTCCTTCTTTACCGTCGGCATCTTAATTGTTCTTCCATTCACATGAACTTCTGTCATCATTTTTTTCACTGGTGGGCTGCCATCCTCTCCCATCCTATTCAGTTTTCTATTTGAGCCCTGAGCCAAGGAGAAACTTGTCTGAAGGTTTTCCATTGCTACACTATTTAAATAATGAAGTCTGAGATTCGCATTGTTCAGTTGCTTCTTTGAAGAGAGAATAATGTATACAAACACTTATAGAAAATCTTAATCTCCAAAGAGAAATCTAACTCAATAGATTTTGCAACTTTTCTGGAGCGCTTATATCCTCATATAATTTCCCGCAAATGCTGTAAAATTTCTCATTTTGCTTCTAAAAACAGAATATATTCTTAAGAGGCACACTTCTAAGGAAGCTTTTGTTTTCTGGAGTCCTTCAAGTATATGTAAAACAAAGCTATCAAGTTCTCTTTTCAAGGTGTCCAGGTTCAGTGTAATGGTTTGTTATGGTTGCTTTGCTTTTTTATAATAAAGCATGTGTAAAGTTCATACCACTACTGTGCCATAAAACCTAGACTGAAACACAAGTCAAAATGATGCAACCAAATTTGATATTTGCTACCAAGGACAATTAAAAAAAAAAGGGAATGTGTCCTCTAAAAGTGGTCTGTCTGATAGTGTCTGTTGACAAACTGAAGACTTGTACAAATCTCCAAGCCTGTAAGAACCTCTGACTCCACTTGAACTTTTATCATCAAAAATTATATTTAAGGAAAAACTGTTTGGTTATCTTCAAGGACTATGGTTCATTCTTCTTTTAATGAATCTGGAAGAGAAGGGGGATGGGGGAGTTACATTTGAATTTGCTCCAGAGGCCAAAGGGTCAGTTTGAAACCAGTTTCTTAATCTTAAACTGAGTACACTTTACCAAAGGTGACACGAGTGACTTCTTTAAAATTAGCACCAGTTAACCACAAAAAACTTCATTTAAATAGAAAAGCAATTCAGAAGGTGGGCAAAGAGCAAAAACATCCCTCAAAAGGAAGAGGGCTACTCAAATTCAGAATATGAAAAACCTTAAACACCTCAAATAAAACAGTACAAGAGGATTTCAGCTGTGCCATTTAAACTAAAAAGTAATTACTGTACTTCTAATTTTAAATAAGGGAGGGCCAGGTGGGCTTGGTGGTGCAAACATGTACTCCCAGAATATTCCGAAGGCTGAAGCAGGAGGACTGCCAGGGGTTCCAGCCAGCCTGGGCTACCTAATGAGTTCAAAGTCAGCCTAAACTACACAGAACCGGTCTCAAAAAAAAGGGGGAGGGATCCGGTTTCTCCATCCCCCCAAAAAACTTAATATAGCCACCGTATGTAACTAAGTTACTTCAAAAGCATATTAATTCATCTAGCCAATGTATGCTATATTTCTGGAATGAATGAAGGTAAAAATTAACTTTCCCTTCAAAAGGGTTAGTGAATTTGCTTAAAGGAAACCAAACGCTTTAAGATTCTATGCCTGGGAATCTCCATCCTTGAACAAAATTAATCCGGGACAAAAAGCACAAGGCAGACAGCCCTCTCACAAAGAACGCAAATGGAGGAAGAGAAAAAAGAAAAGATACTTCTTCCACTTCCTTCTTTAGAAAAAAAAAAATGAAATCCAATAAATAGAATTTCTTGCTTTGCAAACTCCCAGCAATTTACCTTAAAACAAACCTATAAAGATTAAGAAGGAAGGCCACCAGCCATCGTACCGACTTTCGCCACCACAGGGCCACATCAGCCTCTGCAGGGTAGGGAAGAGGGCAGGAGGCACGACCCCCAAACCTGAAGCGCTCCGCCCACGCAAAGCCACCCAACCAATTCTAACCTTAAAGGGTGAAGACAGGGAACCTGGGGACCCGGGACGTCCGGGGGGTGTGAAAGAGGGTGGAGGGAAGTAGAGGGAGGAGTCCCCCAGCCACCACTCGGGAGCCCGGGATAACCCCAAGCGCCCTCCAACACCGCCCCACTGCGGGGGCCGCGGGGAGGGCGGTGGAAAGCCCCGCGCGCGCTCTCCCCGGGAAGTTCTGGGGTGTTACCTCCGCGCCCCGAGGGC